AGTCAGCTGTGCTCCACACTCTGAAATTACACTGAAATTTGTGCATTTTGTACAGAACTATTTACCCTCTTTAGAATAATTATTACCTACATTAAATTGCATTGAAAAGAACAACACCAGTCCCTTGACTTCTTTTGTCGGTGTACAGTATATCTTGCAGGAAGATCTTTGTTTCTTACCTGTCAATCTGTCTGCAGTCTAGTGTTGAGCATAGCTATCTTATCATACATAACATCAGATAGAACTTTGTTTAACTGTACAACATTTTCCTTCGGACACTTGCATTCCTTATAATGCAGAACCACAAATTAATGGAAGGCAGAAAATAAGAAATAAATCACACACTTTTTACTGTGAAGATCATCTAGAATTGGATACTTGACATTTTCCTATAATTGCTTCCTTTCATAGATCATTTAAAACATGCACAATAATTCAGTCTACATGTATCTATTGATAACAGAAGAAGGGTCAAAATTCAAAGTGAAATTTAATAGAGTCAACTATTACAAGTCGAATCCCCTTTTTTGGCCTGGTTTTTCCATTAACAGTAAATCCTCCAATTGGTGTCCAAGGAACATCATTTTCAATTCAGGATATAGCAGAGGATATTTATTACAGGGAGACCCTTAATCAAGGTGGGCGAGGGAGGGGGGAAACAGCTGCAGTGTAAATTTGCAAGGTTAGATGTGAGCAATTTAAGTTCATCAACGGTAATATGTGGCGATTGTTGTGACTTTGTACTTGTCCATGAATAAGGGAGGAGAGGTGGATTTGATAGGATATTGCATTTGGAACCTTCATTTTGTCAAAAAGAATACTATAAGAATCACTTTTTCCTAACTTCAAGGAATAACATGTTGTACCGAGATGTAACAACTTAATTTGTGTCACACTTAAAGAAATTCTACACAGCTATCCCAAAGTTCATTTAGTTTTGGCACTCCTATATCCATGCACTCGTGAGTTTGCAGCTCATTTTACCTTGGAGAAAGTAAAACTGAAACATATATGCAGATTATAGAAGTAAAATGAGAGGTTTAAGTTTCTTTTTGGTCATCTTGTCAGTGTACATTATATACATTGACCTCTTGTCACGTTCCATCAAGGATAATTCGAGCAAGAAACTAGTGGCACACAGGAGCATGTTATAAAGTAGACTTTTATTGCCATTAATTTTGATTTATACTCCAAAATCAGATGAAGTTCAGCTTCTTTACATTACACATTACACCATGGCCAGTGCAGTAAGTACAAGAATGATTCCTTGGGAAACGAAAAATGATTTCATAACCACGACAACTAACATGAACACTTTGTATAAAAGGGACTAGCCATTAATCATGTAAATGTTGGTTGGGAGTTAAGAGCCTTTGAGTAATTAGAAGACAGGATTTCAATTCTTCATTTAATACATAGGGAGGTTATCATCTTTTCATGTTAAGCTCAGTGGACAATGGGGGTAAATGTGACAATGATAATGACAAGGTTATCCACAATACTGTGAAACAGTTGACTTGCAAACTTCAGAAAATTTATTCAACTGGTAAATGTCCTCTAAATTAGCCATAAGAAAAATACCGAAGGGTGCAAAATTAGACCATTACACCTGTATCCCTTTCTGTACTTGTAATGGTAACTAAAATCAGTTTTATCTCAATGATCTCAAATTATTTAAAATCATATTGAACTCACCCAATGAGATAACCATCTTTGATTCCAGAAAAATTTCTGAAATGTAGGTAATGCATACGATGATAGAATTCCAATAGATACAAAATTCCTATGCAGTTTTTTGGCAGTTTACCAAACCTTAGAATCATCTTAGCACAGTCAGATGTGGTAATGATAATTTAACATATGCTACTTATTGGGTATTTTGCATAGCCATGCCAATTTCATAGGCTTAAAATTAAAAGGACTTTGAAAATTTACCATTATGAAGGAAACAAAAAATTAAGAGCATGATATTTAAATCTTATCCACCCTTCTGCATGGTGTTCACAGGGTTCATACCCTTTTTAAGAAAGAAATTTTACGCACTTTTTCAGGACTTTTTTAAGACTCAGATGGATTTTCCAGGACTCCAAATTTCACCTTACACCCTCTCACTCCCACAATTTCAAAATCAATTCTCCCTAGAGTCTTACAATCACTTCTTTTAATGTACATTCTGAAAACTTTATTGCTTGAGTTAAGCAGATTTCCAGGATTTTCTGGGACCTGTAGTCTTTTTCCAGGACTTTCCAGACTTGGAAAATGTCAAAGCAGAATTCCAGGACTTTGCAGGTTTTCCAGGACCCATATGAACCCTGTGTTCAATCCCCCATATGATAATAAGCAAATAGAAGAGACAAATTTACCCAAGGCGAAACGATTCTTGGGGATTTCTGCAAGGCAATTGATGCACTGAAGTTAAGTTTCGCACGCACAGTGCAAGAATTTTAAGAACTTACAATAGTGAACCAGTCTGAAGCTGGAGAATGAGACAAGTGCACATGCTCTTTCCACGAAAAATTGAAATGGCTTTATACACGCTAGATTTCCTCTAGGCCTGCTGTTATGCGCCTGCAACATGGCCATTCTATACTGTGCACCTCACCTTTTTCTCTCCCTTCAGTCCGGGAAGGCGGTAAATATGGATAACGAAATAATAGACTCTGTCCTCTACTACTGGCTCTCGCTAATATAATGCCAACGGAATCTTACAGATCCATTCGACGATGATTTCTAGTGTGCAGAAAACCTCAAATTTGCCTGAATCCTTAAAAAATCCTTGACCTGTGCGTCTAGTCTGCCGCCATGTTTGATTCTATCGACCCAGTCTCCCACACGTTTAGGTGCCCACAGCTAAGGAACCTCTCAACTCGTTCTCAGATCACGATCGAACCTTAGCTCCATCTATCTAAATTATCCACATCGGTCGCTTTTAAACTTTTGATCCCATGAGAAACGAACTTAAATTATATTTGTGGAAAATTAAACCATAAAGAGTTCAGAGGCATAAGGAAGCTGCTAGGGTACCTCATTTTTGGGCAAAGCGCCATCATATGAGTACGTGCGAGGTTACTCACGCTCATTTACTATCATTTTAGCTCCTTGTCAGCGGTATAGCTTCAAGAGTGCTTCCTCATGGCTATTGTAGTAGCAGAATAAAACAAATTGATCATTAACAGCACGGATGAAAAAACACACAATGGCGCACTCTGAAGTTGGGACTGCGACAAGTAGCAAAGAGGAGCAGAAAGAACAAAAGCTTATTGATGTCATGTTTCTCTGTGACGAATGGAAATCTTCGAAAGGTGGATTATCAACTTTCA